TTTGTTCTCCAGTGTCATTGCATCTGTTGTTTACTTTTGTAGTATCAATGCAATTTATTATTCTTCGTGCAGGTACGTTAAGAAAATCACTAAATGCAGGTAGTTTGGCAGGCGGTGCACATTTCACTCGATTCCCGTTTACATCATAACATTCGTAGAAACCATAACGATAATGTTTATCACATTTGGTAACACATTGGTCGCCCCATATACTTTTGGCTTGAACATAGGTGTTCGCTACAGGATTGCACTTGTATACATCTCCATGATAGTCACTACACACATGATCTTCATAATTCTCGTCAGTACATTCAGTGCGGCATGGTCCGTGATGAAAAGTTTGATACCCTGTTCGCCAGATGGTTCTTGTCTCCGAGCTGCAGTAGTCCCAATCAAAGTCCCAATTATCCAAATTATTGGAGACATAGCACCACTCCGCATAGTATCCAAAAAATCCACATCGACTTAAACAATTACGTGTGCTTTGCGTCATAGCTGTGTGAAATACAGGTGCCATTTCGTCACCTGGTATGCAAGTTTCTACTGTATGATTACGACGAAAACGATAAGGAACACTGGCTGCTAGTGACGTGATGCATTTGTTGTTCTTACAGTCGTTCAAACAAGGTTTCCCGGATTTTGAGAAGGAAATTTTTGTAAATGTGAAGTCTATGCTACGCACGCCAACGAAAAATACAAAGGTTACCATGCAAACACGCATCTTGAAAGCGTAGTGCTCAAGTATTACATAAAATACTATATCTATCAGAGCAGCCACGAGCCACTCTGACAGCTATTACGAGACTGAAATGGGAACTGTTCATTCTTTCTTATAAGCCGTGACAAATGCGTCGATTGCGTTTGGGTATTTACAGACAATAACAACATTTTATCGTTGTTTTTCCAGAATTCGTCACTTTCCATATTCGAAGTTGAATCATATGTATGTTATCATTTGCTTTTATATTATATGTTGTAGTAGTTGTACACAACTACTACAACATATAGTGTGTGCGTTATTATTATGCGTTATTATTATAATGAGTTCGAGATGCATCAATTAATTTGATATCATTCCTTAAGCTATTTCAATACATACATATTGCCCTTGGTACTGTAAAGTCATACGTGATCATACATTTAAAAAGTTATTTTATCACAATGAAAGTTATAAAAATAATAAGAACTACAAAAACCAAATTAATATGTATAATTATGTAAAATTTTATAACGTTCCCATTTAAGTTTCAAAATGTTATCGTTGAATTTTATTCTCGAATTGTTTAACCTTTACTGAAAAATTGTCAATTTGTAGATTTTTTTATGATATAAATCGACGAACGAACAAATCGTGCGCTTGGATTACCAACAGTTGCAATGACACTCAAAGTTTTCTATCGCAAACTCACTACCACTGCGCCTGTCACCCGGAGACGTAAGTTGACACGTCCCGTGTGCCTGTAACTTCACCAGCACCTTTATCTAGACGGCACCGGGGTATTGATTGCACCGGGAGATTCGATAAATACGCACAAAGAGTATAGCTTCTTGTTTCCTGAAGCTAACACGGGACTTCTATAACTACTTTCCCAGTACTCCGTTTAATAACTCGAGTTTCGTATTTTTTTACCGTCTGTGATACATACAATGATTTTCATCACATTTGCGAGGAAATAAATACTGTTTTATTTCTTGTATGAATAAATATTGTACACAAAACAACAATTATGGATTTTGTAAATGGAATTTTTTTTATCAACAGATGGCCAGCTAGCTATTCTTCTATAGATAGAGAATACAACTCAAACTAAAATGTTGTAAAAAGTAAAGACACATATAATCACGATGTACTGTAAAAAAATGTGCTTATTGTACAGAAAATAATGAAAATTATACAAGAAACTCTTAATAATAAGTATTTAAGTAGTATATGGCTGATTTACAATGAAATTTCTGTTTAAATAATATTTAAGCGAATGTTTTACATTTGAACTTATGTAACCTCCTTGCTTGAACTTGAACCTAACCTATTTTTTATTTTTTTTTTCACAATAATAACCTATGTAAGCATTGACTTACAATTATATGGACGTCGGGTCCGCGCTAAAAAGTGTCCGCACTTGTAAGGCGCTAAAATCGTATACAGAGCGCGACACTCCGCTTTAGTCTTCATTTGTTCTGCGGACAGCGCGATACTGCGATGACATAACAATTTAAATTTCGAATAGGTTGACTTGGGAAATTTTTTTCGTGGTTTTTGTATTAGACCCGTCGTCCATTTATTTGTAAGTCAATGTATGTAAGGAAGTATGTCGTACTACAAATTAAAAAAAAACTCCTTTACCGACCATCCCTGTAATGGGAAAAAAAGGCCCGAAGGTTTTATTTGGAGCACTTAAGTCAAGTTAACCAAACACACGCTTCACACACAAACAATACACGTACAAAATCATAGTACAATAAGATAATTAATGTTAAGTACAGTATTTGCTCAACCAAGAATCCTAAGATACAGGGCTTTCCTACTTTAGGCTTCTGTCCTCAACATTATTAGTGTTTAAACTCATTGCCTTTACTTTTTAATCATTTGTTGTGGGACAAAATAAACAAATATATCACTGTTATCTAGAGGTTGATACGGGTCGAATGTCCGCGGAATGTATTTTAATGTTTGTATAAGTTATGGCAATAATGTTACCTCGCGGTAATGGTTTATTTAGTAGCTGTAGCTCCCTGTGAATCAGTTCGCCCAGGGAAGTACTGCCACCTTACCTATTTCTGCCGCTAAGCAGTAAGGATACCGGTAACATTACAGGCACACGGGACTTGTCAACTTATAGATCAGGGTGCCGGGTGCAGTGGCAGTGCCCCTCAGATCTTTGCGATTTAAAGCTTCTAAGGACTCCTCTTCGACTCCGTCTTCTGCGGCCCTGGATCTGCAAAGACAATCTCTGCAGAATGAGTTGCAATAGAGAGTATTTATCACTACGCATGACGTGCCCATAGTACTGCAGCTTCCTCCTTTTTACTGTGTTCAGGAGTTCCAAGCCTTTATGCATCCTCCACAATACGTTGTCGTTGGTGACTCTATCCGTTCACGATCCTTTCAACGTTCTTGGTGCCCGTCACTACGTAGACATAAGTTGATAAGTCTCATGTGCCTGTGATTTCACCAGCACCCTTACTTTACTGCTTGGCTGCAGAAATATTTAAAGTGGCAGTACTTTCCTGGACGAACTCTTCCACAAGGTGCTCTACTGCTGTTAATAAAATGTTAGTTTGCAGATGTGGCCTTAGTCTACAAATTACGTTGTTACTGGTACATTAATAAAATATAAACCGTTTTAACATTGTTATTATCTAGAATATTGAATGAGCAAAGTTGCATTCCCTAGGCAACCGCAAGTCTTTAATTACGGGCTGGCGCTGCAAGCTACCCAAAGTCCCGCCTGTGCAGAGCAAACTTTACTAATTGGGTACTGCTCTGTCCCCTTTTCTTATAATAATAGTTTGCTTTTCATAAATATTTTTTTGTTTGTATCTTTAATTGGATTAGAAGGCACGGCGACCGTGCGTGCGTGTGCGACCGTTTTCGTGTAATGTAGATTCTTTTCCCGATAGGATCAAATTGATAAATGAACTTTTGTAAAGTAGTTCTGGTCATGGTGTTCTGAGAAGTGCCCCAGAGTGAATTCCCTTGTCCTGGTAGTCATTGTATAGGAAATTTCCTAGTTTGAGACCACGCAATTGGTGTTCAACATTAATGTCTGGCATATTACTACTATAATTATGTAGTGTCGTTTCCAGTTAGAATATGTAAATCTATGGTACATTTTCGACCGTAAATAAATAGTCAAATAAATCTGTAACATAGTGGGTTGGCCAAAAAGCCCATTCGGTTTTTGCCTCTAGCGAATTTTAAACGAAAAAGAACATTTTTTCATTTTATGAGCGTTTATACACGGCGACATTTAGCAGCGTTGCAAACGCGATGTAGTCGCTAATAGCGCATGTGTAAACTTATCTACTGTACCTTTACACACGGGCGCGATTTTAAGCAGCGATGTAAATGCGATGCAAGCGCGCGACTGCATCGATACAAACGCGCGATTGCATCGCTATACTTGAGACTCTTAGGCGATTTTTTTTAATAATAATAATAACGCACACACTCGACATAGCCCCGCACTAGGGAAATCCTGTGTCGCGGGTGCCATGGATACACAAGTAGACAATTACAAATTACACCCATACAAATATTTCTCCCGGCTCGGGAATCGAACCTGGGACCTCTGCATGGTAATCGTTCGGCCACGGAGGCAGTTTTTAGATTGCATCAATGCAATTGCGCGTTTGTATCGATGCAGTCGCACGTTTGCATCAATGCAATCGCCTATAAATCACAAGTATGGCGATGCAATCGCGCGTTTCACGAACGGGCGTTAGCATCACACCGCAGTCGCCGTGTGTAATCACTCTAAAAGTTATATTGTTAAGAATAGGCGGGAAGTTTTAAGTTCGTCATTTCAAAAACTATTGCAGTTATAATAGGTTGGGATGCGTTCCATCAAGTCAATTCAGATTTTTACTTATTTCGATTCTTACAAAATTTCTTTGAAAGGACAAGACTTTGATAACGAAATGGCCAAACGACACTTAAAGCAGTATTTTATAAGACTAGGATTTTTATAAACGGGGAATTCTAAAATAATCTGAAAGATTTTTAAGTTCATTGAATATCACAATGTTTGACCACCATGATATTCAACTATTTTTGTGAAATTACTCCATTAGTTTAATAATTATTAATACTAAGATCGAACACTAAGACAACCTTCGATGGCAAAAGCTTGCACGTGAATATGGCCAATATATAATTGATTAAAGTTTGATATATTTTTTAATTTTTTCCATTTATGCTGTGATACCGCGCGGCCTTTTTTGGCCAAACCAATAGGTTATTTTATTGGCCATGGTACATTTCACCACACAATACTTACACATGCTCGTCCTTTGCGCTTGGCACAAAGCACTTGCACTCGCGCTTCTGAAATGTGCTCTCGATCCAACTGCGGGTGGTTTTCTGTAACAAAAGAAAGGAAATATGAATACCTTCATGGATATAGAAAAGTTCCAATTCATGATCTACGAACGCCTTTAATATGAACGAAGTTTGGTCTTATTTTGAATACACAATATAAAAATAAGTTTCGAGGTGGATTTATTTATTATAATAATAATTTATTTCATTGAAATCTTAAAAATGCCACTTATACATTAGAACGATTTAAGAAAATATAACAGTTTAACAGTCAACTATATACGAGTATTTGAATAATGTAGTCCATTCATACACTCATGGCGGTATGTTAACAAAAATGTTATTTATCTTCAGTGCTAGTCGAAACTGTGTTACTACAAGGTGAGATTCTCTGATACAGATTAATTTATTTCTCAAATATCACAGTATCAAAAGCACTGAAATGAGAAAAAAAAATGAAAATCTTAATAAAAATACACCATAATTAGAAAATTAACAATTCATTAATATTAATATTATTGTCATTAAATTACATATCAAATGTCATTCTCCATCAAGAATCGTCATAAGCTGATAACAAATATACAAAAGTAAGTCAATGCGATAGATATTAAAATAAAACAGAAAATACTCAATAGCGTTACATTTTAGGTCCATAAATTCATTTATAGAGTATAAAGGATTTTCCAAGGAAAGGTCTTTCAGCCGCCGCCTTAATGTTTCGTCAGATGGTTCAAGTCTGAGAGTAAACCCTCATAATAAGTAGGTCCGTTGACACGCGGGTATTTCTCTGCAAGTACCATCCGTCGGGGGACTGCTCTCAAATGATCCGTACGATGGAGCGGGATGCCAGACACATTTACAGTAGGAAATGAAGAAAGACTATTTCTAACGCACATTATAATTTCGTATTTGTAGAATGACTGGTAATTTCATCAGCACCCTTACCCTTCGAAATCGGAACGCAGTATTGCTCACATTACTGCTTGGCGGCAGAAATACGTAAGGTGGCTGTAATCCCCTGGACTTCTTTCACAAAGAACTCTACTCCTACTGTAAGTATGAGAGCGCATTTGACCTCCATCTAACCAGATGTAAAAGTGACGATGAGGTTAACGATGTAGCATGCACACCTAAATAATGTTTTTTCACTCTCACCTTGAACAGGTTCAAATTATAGCGTTCAGCGAATAAGTGCGCAGGCAGGGAATTCCATTCTCTTGCCGCTCGCCATATAAATGTGGAAGCATATCTACTAATCTAGACCCAATGCGCTTTTGGTTAGTTCATTAGACAATCACTATCTAGGACTATAATCTTAGTACAGAGTACTAAAAAAACCGACTTCAAAAGTACGTGGAATTACATATAATTACCAAGTTTTATAAAAATCGGTTACCGGAAACTGCGCAAACTCGGATTCATCCCCTAGTTCGCTACTGCGAATCCGGATGATGAATCCGGAATGAATCCGGGTTTACGCATAATTAAGTCCCGTATGGTGATAGGGGACTTGACACAGGAGATAATAAAAATCGGTTCTCACTACACAAACTATATTGAGAGAGAAAAACGCCTTGAATTGGAGAATAGCGTGAAGAGCAACCCTTAGAACAGAACGTAAATATTTTAAAACAACCGTTAAAAACTAAAACATGATCCAATGAACATTCGAAATTGAGTTTCGCAGTTTCTGCAAAACACCGACAATACGAACAAAGATATTTGTAGAGACTGCTGCGCTTAATTACACCTTATATTAAAAACTCTTAGTGATAAGGGGTGAATATTTCAAGAAGATAAGCCGACGTAGAAGGTACGTAGGAAATGCTGCAACACAAGATACGAGTAATTTCTGTTCAATACCTACCAATAAGTTGGAGGATACCTATCTGGATGTTCCTATCGGATTCGTTGGGACCGATTCTTCGTATGAACCCCTCGTCACTGATATCTATATCTCTACTTTGTTATTTGCATAACAACAAAGTACGAAATGCCTAAAGGGCGGCTAAAGCTCTTCTTTTATATTTGGACTTTCTTTGGAGGTTTTATTCATAAGAAATAGTTAATTAAGTATAGAATAACACATAATTACAAGTTTTCTGTAAAAAAAACCGACCTTAAGAATTCGTGAAATTACATCTATTTGTTAAGTTTGGAAATTGCGCATAACTGATTTCGTCGCCTTGTTTGACGCCCTTACAGATGGAATATTTTCTTAAAATTTAAATGGAACCAATACTGGGGTACCCTCTTTCCAACAAAAAAAGAATCATCAAAATCGGTTTACAAATGCCGGAGTAATCGCGTAACTTACGTACAAAAAAAATGCAGTTGAATTGAGAACCACACTTTTTGAAGTCGGTTAAAAAGGATAGTTGGAGAAACGTGAAGGTTAATTCCCCGAATATTTTATAATACAAATTGTTTTTCTACATGTCTTTTAATTTATACGTATATTGAGTTTTCCACAAATAGGTAATAATAATAATTATTATCTCCCAACAAGTAGAAAATATAAGTACGTAATAGAAAACAGAACTTAGATATAGGAGACAGAAGCCCAAACTAGGTAAGCCCCGTGCTATAGTACTCCTGACTCCCACTTCCGGCAATAGTACAGTTAGTAAACCAAAATAAGGTTATTTGATAGAAAATGACAGAATAAAATATCTTATTGTTTAACTAGAGTCATTCTTGGTAGGTCAATGCATTCGTCACTCAAAGTGAAGGCAAATAAATTTAGGCAGTTAAATTAGAAATTATGAAAAATATAAAAAAGTGTATATATAGTATAATAGTGAATATAATAGTTAGCCTGTATATCACGTAGTCCCATTGCTGGTCACAGGCCTCCTCTCACAACGAGAGGGTTTGGATTGTAGTTCTCACGCGGGCCCAATCCGCATTGGGAACTTCACACACATCATTAAATTGCTTTGTGGATATGTGTAGAGGCCTAAGTGTAAATTTGTAATCATTCAAGCTTAGCTACCGTATAGATCTTAATTATATATCCATAGGGTTCAAATTAAAATCATAATGCAAACGCGATACTTAAGTATACACATTTGAAAAAAAAAAACTGCAAAGTTGTTGTTTGAAATCTGAGCAAGCGAAGGAAGCTAAGACTCGCTTCGCTCGTGGTTAAAAAATAGATTCCTGAGCGAAGCGAAGATTTCAAGGCACTAGACACAAAACAAGTTTGCGGCCGAAGGAAACACACAACTTTTCACCTCACTATGGAGGAAGGTAGATGACAAAAAAAATCAGTTTTTTTTAATAAAATAAAAAGTTTATCTACGGATGCGTTCTGAATTCACATGTCATCAATTTTTATTCCTGCTTGTACTTTTATATTGTATGATTAAATGATTATTGAAATTATTTCAGTTCTTCAACGAACTAAAATAGTTTCATAAGTTTCATAAACACATTTAGTTATCATTGACAATATAAAAATAAAATATACCAACGGATTTATATTACCTAAATAAGTAATGTACGACAAATCGCGTAGTTGAACGTGTCATTCTCATCTTTCTTTTTCATCAAAATAAAAAGTTAGGAGCACCACAGTCCACAGTCAAGTTTAAATTTCAAAAACCCTTTCCACGCTACCGTGCAATCATCGAGTATTGTTATATGCGTGGTCTCTTAGATGTGTGCAAAAAACTCTTTTGCGCGCAGATTTGAGAAAGAAAGCTTTTCCGAGTTAGTGAGGTGAAAAATATATTTATTTATTCACAAAATACATAAACAAACATAAGCGAACAATTAAAACAAAAGAACAGTAATGTGGACACAAAGGATGAATACGCAGACATTGCTAAATTTCAGGTTTCACTTTAAAGCTAATCGCTTGCTGAATCAGACCGGCAAGGGGTTGTATACTAACCGCTCACGCGATTCATGCGTCTCTGGAACCATACCACACCTAGAGGTGCCGGTGATGATTTTATACCGATTTATCGGATATCGAAGTTATAACAGGTAAAAGAACTAATACCAATTGCTATTTCGGTAACTACTCTAGCAAACCATAAAGTTTTTAATGCCTGGGTCTGTCATTTAAAAAAAATAAACAACTTCAAAAATACGTCACGACAATCGTGTGTGTTATTGTTTGGGCTGGTGATGTCGGTGTTTATTTATTGAAAACATACTGTAAGTTGCGTTTTTTAAGTTTACCCTGAATATAAATGTTTATAAACTATACTTTAAGGAGTAATTTCGTGGTAAACATTAGAACCACTCAAACGGAATATTATCACATTTACCCAAGTACACCAAAAATGTCATTAGTGCTTTTTAAGTGCAGGATTTGCGGTGTATTACTGCATTTTATTTGAGATGTTTTTATTGTAGTACGGAGGATATTTATTTAGCAATGCAGAATAATAATTTTTATTTTTAAAAACTTGTATTTAAACTGAATCCTTTTCTGATTTGCGAAACCAAATAGCCGCCATTTTGCGGTAGGATGAGCGCATCGCGTGAGCGGATAAACACCAAGCAATTAATAGAGGCTGTCTGTGTTGCACTATGCAAGTATGTAAAATGTATAAAAAAATTAAATTAAAAACAGAAAACATCGTAAATTTTATTTATTTAGTGAGTTTACAAAATTGACGCTAAAGCACCTGGTTGCCTTTAAAAGGCTTCCGTGGTTGAAGAGCTTGCTCATGACTCGATCTTCTGCCGGGTCAGTGTAGAAAAACTAACTTATTTATATTGTTAAGGGTCTGGGTGATCGTGGTACCGTCGTTGTTTCCAATTTCCATAACACAAGTGCTTTAGCTACTTACTTTGGGATCAGAGCAAGGTATACGACGTTGTCTTATAATTATTATTTATTTTATTAACCGACTTCAAAAAAAGGAGGAGACTCTCAATTCGACTGTGTGTTTTTTTTTGTATGTATGTTACGCGATAACTCCGGTATTTGTAAACCGATTTTCATGATTCTTTTTTGTTGGAAAGAGGGTACCTCTATAGTGGTCCCATTTCATTTTGAAGAAAATCATCCATTTCTAAGG